CACCCTGGCTTTGGGGTGCCTCATTGTCTCCCTTCTTCTGTTTGTCTGTGTATTCTTTCGCTATCCCTATCGCCGCTGGATCTCCCCTCCTCGTGAACCAAAAATTCGTGACAACTATGTCGAGGGAAAACCCCGGCAAACCATGATATATTCTGACACCAAACTATTCTGTTAAAGCTAAGTCTTTAAATCTATATGGTCGGGGGGGTGGGAGTAGAGAAAAGTTATGTTTATCAGGAAAAAGCACACACACACAAACACACACAAATTTAGCTTACAAGCTATTTTAAGCTATTCACAATACTAATTTGATGGGAACAAGTGGTTAACTCCAAACTTCTTCCTGTATCCTTTCCCTTTGTTTCTGGTCCAGATCACAATGAGAAAAGCAGAACTAGCAGACTCAGGACAGTGGGAAAGACGCTAGAGCTTTAGATTCAGGAAAGGAGAAAAGAGTAACTACAGTCCCACATAATGGATAATTAAATACTTGATTGTCTTTTATTGTTGTTGTTGAGTGCCACTGAGATGGTTCTAAATCAGAGCGACCCTGTATAAGGTTTCCGAGAAGTAGCTGGTAGATTTGAATCGCCGGCTTTTCGGTTAGCAATCCTGTAGCTTATCCTACATTGTCACATCAGGACTCCAAGTGACTTTTAGAGAGCCAATGAAAAGCTGCCTTAAAGATACACACACTGTGGAAGGCTTCTGATTCTACAAAAAATTCACAGTAAATTCTCTTCTAGTATGAAACATCATCACATTAAATTCGCAGGGATAATGGTTGCAATTTACTCAAGAAATCGTTATTTTGAATTCATTACTGATATAGACACTTTCCTTTAATGATAAAATACTTCCTTCTAAGAAGCTAGAAGTGGAAATTGAAATGTTCATCTTATCAAAAGTTGATCAAAATAAGCTTCCAAGTTATAGGACAAGTTGAAATTATTTTTGTGTTAAAATCGTTCAGTCTCTACCCATTATTATTAAAATAATTATGATAATGAGAACTTAATAGGCCATCTCTCATTTTCATTGTGACAAATATATATGTAATGTCTTCCAAACAGTATACAACCAATCTTTATAATGATGCATCAATAATTTAAAACTCATCCATGAGATCTAAAATACACAGCTCCACAATGAACTCCACTCTCTAACAACAAGATACAATAAAGTTGCAGTAAATTCCAGAGACGATAGTTAGCCACGTACTGAAGTTAAATAAGAACATAAGCTGGTAGGAGACCTAAGTTAGAACTGGAACTGGAATAAAACATCATGAGTTTGAGTTTAACCACTAAGATCCTAATGTTGCATTATGGATTTTTTTTTTAAAAAAAGGCTAAGTCTGCCCTGGTACTAGTCTTTCACATATTGACTAAATGAGCTCTTTGTAGATGCTATACTTACACATACCTTTCTGTAAAACAGGGCTAAGGACCCAGTTCTCTTTGGTTTGCTTATTCCAGTTGGATGAGCTTCTTGTGCTTTAATCAGATGTGTCTGTTTTGGAGAAGCACCAAGTAATGACTGAGCAGTAAGTGATACAGGATTCTCCACTTTGGAATCTTGAGTCGTACTCATAGAAATGGGTATCAGCGTGATTCCTCCAGCATCATTCGCAACACCTAAATATCAAGAGTCCTCAGGTTTAGAAATAGGGAACATGTGTCCTAGGAAAGTTGTTAGTTATATATGCTTAACATTAATTTGCTTTAATTTATAAGGTAAATTATTAATAAGTTATTATCAATGAGAATCAAGTGTCTGGTTTACGAAAACCACTATTTATAGTCATCTTAGCTGAGGAGCTAAGAAGTTCATAAACTTGTGTTCTAGCTTCTCAAAAAGTAATCTTTCTTCACAGTCAAATCACTAGAAATACGAATTTCTAGGCAACCAAACTTAAAAGTTTTAACTCTACAAATGGCTAAGAAGTGCTTAAAGACTTTAAGAAATTCTAATACTGTCCTTCTAGAAAAAGGGTTTCTGGTGTGATATTGTAGAATAGGCACTAGACTGCTAACTGCAAAGTCAGACGTTCAAACCCACCAATTACTCCTTGGAAACCCTACACAGGGTCACTGTGGGTGAGAACCAACTCGACAACAACAAACAGACCATGGGTTGAAGAGCTATGGTCTATGGCCTATATTTTGACCCACTACTTGTTTAGTTATGCCCTACAAGATACCAATGGTTTTAAATTTCTAAGTGGTTACATTTTAAAGTTCTTCATAAGTGCCTATATAATAGCCTCAGTTTTGTCCATTGTACTATAAACCTTTGCCCTTTAAGAAGGTGTTTGTCAACCCTTGTTCTAGACTAGGAAGATTTGCTGCCTTTTAGGAATCAATTTCTAGAAAAATATTTGATGTGTATCTCCATCTCCAAGGAATCCCAGAAGGAAAACTCCTTTATTACTTCACCAAAACAAATTCCAAAAGTAAAAAGAGGAGGACAAAGTTGGCTATACCTCTTGTATCTCAGATTTCCCAGCAATGATCAAAAGATTTTCAGGGAAAGATTACATACAGGGAACAGAAACAGTCAACTCTCCATTTATTTTGATGTCAGTATCAATTTAAACATCATTCTAATTAAAAGTTGGTGCTGAGGGTTTATATGCTGGACTACAGTTAGTTTGAACCACAAGGTTGGCAGCTCCAGCTCATCAACCACTCCTTGGAAACCCTAAACAGGGTTACTATGGGTCAGAACCAACTCTATTAGCACTTAACAATAAAAACAACACTGTATGTCTGTATGACTGGGAGTCCTGGTGTACTATAGGATAAGCACTGGACTACGAAGTCAGTTAGAACCACAAGGTCAGCAGTTCAAATCTACCAGTTGCATCTTGGAAACCCTATACAGGATCACTATGAGTCAAAGCCAACTTGATAGCACTTAAAAACTGTATGGTTGTAGACTTAAGGAAAAAACCCTGAAGTAAGAATGTAGTACCTGTGGCAGTAAGTCCTCCTCCTTCCTGATCAATCACTCTTTATATACACTTTCCTGGGTACCAAGTATTTCTGGGAAGACAAATACTTACAAATCATGCTAAACATACATAAATGAGTTCTGGTGGCACAATGGGTTAAGTGTTGGGCTGCTAACCTCAAGGTCGGTGGTTCAAGCCTACCAGCTGTTCTGTGGAAGAAAGATACGACTGTTTGCTCCTGTAAATATTTGCAGACTCTGAAACTCCTATCGGGTCACTATGAATCAGAACCAACTCAATGGAAGTGGATGAGATACACACATGATGGATTAGAATTCCTGGCTAAGAGTGTATCTCTCTCAACAATAAAATATTTTGTTTCATGTTCAGGGAAAATCATCCAATGTCTTAAGACTGCAAGATCACAAGTTTACTTTAAGGTTTACTCCTTCAAATATTTTATTAGTTTTGAAGAAGAGATTAATGCAGCCCAGCAACATCGTATAAAGATGCTACAATGAATCCAAGAGGGACCATGGCAAAATGCATTGCATATGCTATACTCTTGTCAAGTCTATGGAAATTGAATGTGTCCAATGGTGTGGCACTGTGGGTTAATGCGTCAGACTGCAAAATCATTTGAACTGCAAGGTCGGTGGTTCAAGCTCACCAGCTGCTCCTTGGAAACCCTATACAGGGTCGCTATGGGTCAGAACCAACTCAATGGCACTTAATAACAACAACAGACACCTGTCCTGTGTGTGCATACAGATGGGAATATGTCAGAAAAGAGGTGTGAAGAAGACTACAAAATAGCAATTCTTATTATGATTTAATTGCTTTAAATATTTTTTCATGAAATAAAAATACTATTTTAAGTTCTTAAAGTGATGTTTTTAGTCAAGAAATAAAATTCCTCTCCAATACACTCATTTGAAAGAGCTCAGATAAGAAAATAAAAGAAGTCCTAAAAAGGACAGTTGTAAACTTGCAAAATGTACAAATTCAAACACTAATACAGGTTTGAAAACTAATATGCTTTGTAAATACTCACCCAAATCATGATAAAAAGTTTAAAAAACAAACAACAAATAATATAGGTTTAAGAAAAAACATTAGGTTAGAAAAACAATGTGATCTGATTTAGTAAGATATTTTAAAATAAATTTTATCCAACTCAAAAAAATTAATAAATAAATACATTGCGATGTTACCATGAAATGGGATTGTAACTTTTTGTCCTGTTGTCCCTGTCAATATGCCTGTGGCCACTGTTAGAAGACTCTGCCCAGGTGAAATCGATATATTTTCAGTATTAACACTTGAAGAAGGAGCAATTTTCAGTTTTGTTCCTTCTGTCATGATCTTGTCCACAAGCATTTCCTTTGGTGGGTCCTCTCCAAAAAGTCTTCTCTTAGCACTCCCTGCTGTAGGAGAACTGTAGCGTTCATGGACAGAAATTGGAGACAATGGTTGCATATCTAAAATAGACAAAAGTATATTTTCAAACAGTTAGATATACATTCCAAAATAATAAATCAAGTTCATTCATTTCATTCAATAAAAACTTAAGGTTTACTATGTTAGACACTGGAGAAGAAACAGTAAACAACATAGATGTGGCCTCAGCTTTCATAGAACATTAAGTAGGAGAGATAAAGAGACACGAAATAAGTCAGTACAATAAAATGTGAAAATTATGATAGCTCATCTTTCTTGGACATCTTTTCACTCCTATTTAAAAGTGAAAATATTAAGGGTGTAGAAGGTAAAGTAGGTAAAGTAGAAGGTGAAAGGTCAAATGAGGTGATCACTAAATTAAGAAGTAATCCAATTAGCTTCTGTCATTCAGTTTTAGTAAATAGCCCCTGAGAAGAAGGGAGCAACGACTTGGTTCATAGTTTTTCTCCTCCTGAGTAAAGAGTTTAAGACTGTTCTTTCCTTTGTCTTAATCTGCAGTTGTCAGTGGTGTACTGACAAAACAAAAAAACACGTTAAGAGTTAAGGCTCATGCCTCTTTTCCAGTGCTCTCCTTCTGCAGAAGCTACATTCCCTCTCTGCATAAGGTACACAAGTGTTTTGAGCCCCTTGTTGTTGTTGTTGTTATGTGCCGTGGAGCCAGTTCCGACTCATAGCGACCCTGTACAGGGTTTCCGAGGCTGTAAATCTTTA